GGCGCAACGGTAGCGCATCTGACTCCAGATCAGAAGGTTGTCCGTTTGAATTGGGCCGGGGTCATATGGTAGACTACGAGTTGTAGGAAAATACAAAATACTCACCTATATGTTTCCTTTCGAGGATGCTGAACAACGTCGGCTTGGCCCTGTGGCGCAACGGCAGCGCATCTGACTCCAGATCAGAAGGTTGTCCGTTCGAATCGGGCCGGGGTCACATGGTAGACTACGAGTTGTAGGAAAATACAAAATACTCACCTGCATGTTTTCTTTGGAGGATGCTGTAAATCGTCGGCTTGGCCCTGTGGCGCAACGGTAGCGCATCTGACTCCAGATCAAAATGTTGTCCGTTCGAATCGGGCCGGGGTCATATGGTAGACTACGAGTTGTAGGGGAATATACAAAATACTCACCTGCATGTTTCCTTCGAGGATGCTCATCATCGTCGGCTTGGCCCTGTGGCGCAACGGTAGCGCATCTGACTCCAGATCAGAAGGTTGTCCGTTCGAATCGGGCCGGGGTCATATGATAGACTACGAGTTGTAGGGAAATATACAAAATACTCACCTGCATGTTTCCTTTGGATGATGCTGAACAACGTCGGCTTGGCCCTGTGGCGCAACAGTAGCGCATCTGACTCCAGATCAGAAGGTTGTCCGTTCGAATCGGGCCGGGGTCATATGATAGACTACGAGTTGTAGGAAATACAAAATACTCACCTGTATGTTTCCTTTGGATGATGCTGAACAACCTCAGATTGGCCCTGTGGCGCAACGGTAGCGCATCTGACTCCAGATCAGAAGGTTGTCCGTTCGAATCGGGCCGGGGTCATATGATAGACTGCGAGTTGTAGGAAAATACAAAATACTCACCTGTATGTTTCCTTTGGATGATGCTGAACAATATCGACCTGACCCTGTGGCGCAACGGTAGCGCATCTGACTCCAGATCAGAAGGGTGTCCGTTTGAATCGGGCCGGGATCATATAATAGACTACGAGTTGTAGGAAAATACAAAATACTCACCTGCATGTTCCCTTTCGAGGATGCTGAACAACATCGGCTTGGCCCTGTGCCGCAACGTTAGCGCATCTGACTCCAGATCAGAAGGTTGTCCGTTTGAATTGGGCCGGGGTCATATGGTAGACTACGAGTTGTAGGAAAATACAAAATACTCACCTATATGTTTCCTTTCGAGGATGCTGAACAACGTCGGCTTGGCCCTGTGGCGCAACGGTAGCGCATCTGACTCCAGATCAGAAGGTTGTCCGTTC